AGGGCCTGGCGTGCTCTGGTCCATGGGGTCACGAAGAGTCGGACATAACTTAACAACTAAACAACAACAAGAACAAGTCCAATAACACCTGAAGGGCTGCAGTTTGCCCACATCTGAGTCACAAGAAGGCAGATTTTGGTGGAACCTTAGGAGAAACATCTTGGTAGTAAGAGAAATTTGACAGCGGAGCTGTGTATCATATAATGGCCAACCTTGCCAGAGAAAGAACTTTGGCCACTTATCCCTTCCTTGTCATTCTGAATTAAAATTCTCAGTATGCTGTAAAGTCCAGCGGTTAATTGTGTTTCCCCACTCATCATTTACAACCTCTGGGAAACTCTGAATACTGATTGATATCGGCCTCTTTTCTACTTCTTTAGGGATAGGTTAATGGGTAAGTGGGTCGAGAATATCCCCCCAGCACACCTCTCACATAAACCTACACATCCAGAGAGCTAAATGGACATTTTGTTCTTTTTCTTTATCTCGTTTTTGAACAGTCAAGCAAGTCTTCAATTGTTCTTTTTTTAAAAAAAAGTCCTTACCCAATTGCCATCTCCTGTTTCCTTCTCTGCCTGCCATTTAGTTGCATTTTAGACACTGTAAGAGGTCCCCTTCATATGAATCAAACTCCCCCCCCCGACAGCTAAGAGCCATACATTGGGGTGGGGGATTTTCAGTGGTGTCACAATGTGTAGGGGACATTAGCCATTTGCTGCAATTCTTTGTCCAAATCTACCCCCATGTGGCAATTAAAGTTGGGGTGGTGGTGGAAATATGCCTTTTGCATGAATAGGAACTTTTTTCTTAAACCTAATTGTTGTGGAGGAGAGGAAATGATGCAAGCTGTATGCATAAGTAGCTTCTGTCGGTCTAATTTCCTTTTTAAGCCATGTAAGTTGTGGCCCTCACCAGATCTTTTTGAAGCAAATTCCATATTCTAACCATGAACTGTGTGAAGACACACTTCCATCTGTCTGTGCCATACATTCCACCATTCAGCTTTGCTGGATGGCTGCAGGCTCTAGTTTTATAAGAATGAAAAATATGTTTTCACCTAATTCTCCACATCATGCATAATTTTACCCACTTTTACTCATTTGTTTTTCTAACTCAAAAAGTAACACTGTAGCCAGACAATGTAGCCTTTCCTCACAGGAGAGTTGCTTGTCCCCCAATTCATGGGATTAATGGCAATTTGTCTCTAGTTTATTTTTTGATTTAGTATGGGCTAAATCTCCTGATCTGATGACACATACACTGCATTTTGCTCTCCATTTTTCTCCAATTCATGGGATTAATGACAATTTGGCTCTAGTTTACTTTTTGATTTAGTATGGGCTAAACGAAGTCTCCTGATCTGATGATACATACACTGCATTTTGCTCTCCATTTTTCTGTTCTAAGCAAACACAAAGGGACCAAAGCAATGTACAATTATATAGACACTCCAGCCAGGCCATGGCTACAGGAAAGGTAAGAGACTACATGGAAACCTTGATACCTCAGTTTTACAACTAATCTGTTGTCTTCCTCTTGCCTTGCTGATCGTTTGTCTATAAGAATAATGGCCATTATTTTTAGTCAGACATTTTGGTCTTTTTTCTTTTCTTCCAGTTCCGCAAACTGTTCAACCTCTACATCCTGAAGAAGACGATGGAATAATTCATCTTGTTTGCAGTTTTTCTGTGATCCAACTCAAAATTTTGTTCATATTCACGAGTCACACAGCTGCTTTGAGGGCTGCAGTTTTCTTTTTAAAAAATTAGGTCATTTTAGGTGCCTTTTCTTTACATCTTCTCCAGCTCTACAACAGTCTTTCTGAGGTGTGACAACAGATGTGCACACAGCATTGCAATTACGTTTGCACTGCATGTTTGTATAAAGTTATCACAACATATTCTTCACAGCTATTGTACACTGTCTCAATGTTTTCAGTAAGCTATTCATCCCCTCCCCCATGAAATCTCCTTCCTAATCAAATCATTCAGAGCCCAGTTGACTACATTGGCGTATAGGAACTACTGGAGATGATGAGAACCATGTGCATTACATTGCTTTAGGGGGAAAAGGTTTTCTAACAATGTACTGCATTTGCTGTTAAAGTATTCATTCACCTAGAAAGTGTTGGGTTGTGTCTGAAATGTGTCAAAGAAGGCAATAATTTCTTGCTTTGTAGTGGATGGATACTCATTTTAAAGTTTTTTAATTGGGGGGTGTCTTTTGGCCACCTTTTGTATAAACAATAACACTCCTTCCTACAACAAGTAACATGTAAACAGCACTACTAGGGCAGGTCCAAAAGCAAAGCCACTGTGTTTTCCTGCCAAATGAACAGTGATGATTCCATTGTACCAGAAGTACAGGTAGTGATTAGTACTCCAAGCTCTTACAGTTACATCTATATTTCAAAATCAGCTAATTTGCCTTTGAATTGTTTAATCCCATTGCTTATTGTATTTTAAGACAGAATTTAAAAAGTTGAGATGACATTAATATGATACAAATGAAGAGTGAATATGTAAAAACAGGATGGATCCAGCTGCAGTATCCTATGCTGGCAGTGCTATGGGAAATATGGCATCACCAAAATTTGATTAATAAATGCATTGCTTTGTGGCACTCAGGACATCTGTAGTAATACAAGAAGCAAAAGGAATGAAAAAAGATTAGAGGCAGGGCAACACATTAGACCTTACCTGTGCCATTTCTTTTAAAAATAACTGATGATGAGATCATACTATAACGATTCACACTAGTTTACAGAAATCTGCAGAGGATAAATGGCTATTGGCCTTGGATTGCTAATTAATTGTTTTGTTTTTACAATCTATTTCTATTTTGTTCAGCCCTACAGTAAAAGCTGAACAGGACCCCAGTCCCAGCCAACAATAACAAAAAAACTATACAACTGTAGGCTAAAAGAGAAGTACAGTTCCTTAGTTTACCGACTTCTTTCCATGCTTTGTTAGACACAATTAAATTATAATTAGCATGGGGTTTAAAACTACATATGAGCACGATATACATAATCTGCTCCTAATTTGTCAAAACCTCCCACACAGCAGAGAAATCAAACATTAAAGAAATGATGCATAAGTAGTGGGAGGACTCTCCAAATGGAAATGTTTAAAGCAACTACGAACACATTACACACAATTTCAGACCAGTCTCCCCACTAAACATATAACAAATTATAATAAATGAAGAAAAATCAAACATATATACTATATACTGAATCTGCTTGTTGCTTGATGAAAATGCAATCAGTTCCTAATACTTCAAAGCCATGTCTTAATGATGTTACACTGGACCTTTCTTGCTGATGAAGAACTGAGAATATGATTAAACATGCAGTTATCCGCTCCTGTGTTATGCTGCTCAAGTCAGGAGACCATCCATTCAGCAGAGACTCATTCCATCCCAACTCAGACATACAATATATCTATCATATAATGCAGCATGACTTTCAGCTCTAAATTGCCTCATGGGATATGATAGGCAAGAACTGAATAACCAATCAGAGCTCTTCAAGGCTCTCTCAAGAGAAGAAGGCAGCCCTGAGACAGAATAGAAAACTCAGCACACAACAAGACAGGGGTAAACATACCCCAAAAATACCACAAAATACCAAAGGCATCACCTGCTCCCTAACAGGTATGACGGGATGTCTTTCTTTGACTATGGGAAATAAATATATCACATCATCTGTCATGGAGTGTAAAACTTTTCCTTCACAAAGAGTCAGAAGAGCAAAAAATCATCTCTGCCTCAATTTGGATCGCTCCCCAAACATACTGGTTATTTGTGAAAGAAAATAGAGGGTTTGATTTTCTTTATGGAACACTGACATCTTCTCAATCAAGGGTCCAAATCTCAAAAACTCAATTTCAGAATTTTGAGCAGTAATACCTTTTTGTATCAGATTATGGATAGGATCTTATTGGTTATTTACACCAGGTTTTAAGTGGGATAAACTGCAGTGGTTTGAATACAAGCAGCAGCTCATAAAAGCAGCAACTTATTAACTAGCTCTAATTCGCCACTGTTGATTTACACCACTGCACTTAAGCCAGTGTAAATAATATAATTCTGGCCTATGCATATCAGCTTAAGGAAAAGAGCCACTACAAGAAAGGAATATTCTCACTTTTGAGCCAGAACCCTGGCAATGTTAGTGCTGCAGGCAGACAAATGCAGCAACAAAGGAATCTTAAATGAAGGCAACACCATCTGGCTCAATCTTTCTATCAAGGAAACACTTCGAATAGCTTCAAATTACATTGTGTCACCATACCGTAAGGAGGCATGAATGTACTTTATCACTTAAGTACACTAAGAAATAAATAGCTCTTGTGTTTCTCTTTATCAAGCATGGTGTCTTGAAGAAATAAGGCAGATATTCAAACTAGTACTGTACTAAATTAAACTATTAAGCCCATTTAAAATTCTTCACTGTAAATTGCAAATGAACTGAAAATGTCAATTAACTTGGTTCCATATGGCTCACAAATATGACATTGGCTTGAATCCTAAGACATTAATTTAATGCAAAGAAGGAAAGTTTTCCATGCTTTTTTTCCCTAGAAAGCTCTTCATACGTCAGGGCCATTCTTGAATAACTTGGGGTGGTCTCCATGGATTTTCCAGATAGGATGGAGAGGAAACCTTCCTCCTGACAGAAAACTAATTTGGAGCCTTCTCTCTTCCCCAGCAGCCTCTAATGCCCCTACCCTTTATACACTGTGGTCTTTGAGGTCTCAGCTCTAGGGAGGATTTACATTGGATTTAGCTTTCTAAATCCAATCTAGCATTTAATCTTCCAAGAGAAAGCCATAGATGTTCAAAATGCTTAAGATCCTATAAGTATGGTGCAATCCAGGCAAGATTAATTTGTACCTGTGTCAACATTGGTAATTTTAAAGAAGGAACAAAACAACAACAACAACAATTTGATGTATTGGTGTGAATCTGTGGCAAAATAAAGATTGTGGTCTTACCTTTTTTCCCCAAATTAGTCAACAAGTCTGAATTCTTGTGAAGAACATCACTCACTAATTTGATCTCAATCTTCTGAGACAACAGTTCTAGCAATTTCTCAAAAAGATGCTGCCCCTGTTTGAAAAAACACCAAGAAAATATATTTGGCATGATTATAAAATTAGACTAAGGATACAAAGGACTCTTTTCAGAATCCTCATTCTTGATGAGGCATGTTCTCTCAATACATCAAGAAAGGCTGTTGAGAAATCTCTTATTCTTGCAAGGTAAGAAGTATTTCTTCTTCCCATGGAGCTTTTCTCAATTTAGGTAAAATGTTTTTGCCCAAATGAGTTTCCTTTCCCTTTGTGAAACAAAGCACAGAAACCCACATACACCCACACATACATATAAAGAAAAGATAGAGAAACTGGAAGATTGATCAAAAATATGTAAACAATCCATCTAATGATTCTAATTCTTAAAAGTCTACGCAACAGCTATCACAATTTTGTGTAATTGCAATACGTGCAAATCACACAAAAATAACTCTCGCATGTGTAAAAACACTCATCAATCTTCATCATGTTCTGTCAAGTCAATTCTAACTTATGACAACCCTTTGCAGGTTTTCTAGAATAGATAATACTCAGAAGGGGTTTACCATTCCATTCTTCTGGCGAGGTGCCCTGGGACTGGGCAGCTTGCCCAAGGCCACAACACCTGGATCTTCTCCTGGGATGCACAGTGGGGAATGAAACCCTCAGTCTCTGGCTCTATGGCCAGATACCCAAACCACTGAGCTATCCAGCCAGCCAATCAATAATAAACAGTAAATAACAGCCTCATAAACTGTTACAACAATTATTGCAGTTTGTCATGTGTGAGAGCAGCAAGTATTTACATTCCTATATTAAACATAAGAAAACAACATATAATACATATTTATAACATATATTTTAGGTTAGGCATCCTTCAGTCTCAAGAGGCTATGGTAATGTGGTCTCTGAATGGAGGACTTGGAACAACGTCTAGTGTGGCTAAGAATGCCAATTCGAGAGTGACTATCCCTTCCACAATGAGGACAAATACAATCTGTACCCTGTCCAGCTCCCTGATTTTGCTGCTTTCATGACTGCCTCTTTGCCTTGGCCTGCTGGACAAGGGTCTCTTCAAATTGGGAGAGGCCGTGATGCACCGCCTGCCTCCAGGCTGAACCGTCAGATGTCAGGGTTTCCCATCTGTTGAGGTCCATTCCCAAGGCCTTCAGATCCCGCTTGCCTGACAGAAGTGATCCCCCGCAGTCTTAGCAAATTACACTACTTTAGCATAATGTCACAACTAGGCAAGCCTATTGAACTAGTGGGGATTTAATAAATCAGCTCCTTCATAAGTTGATTAAATAGACTTATTATAGTTGTGGCTTGCTGTGATAAGCAACATGATTAGAGCCAATATATTTATCATCATATATTGTGAATCTGTATATTAGGCTTCAACGGAATTTGAAAATTTCTTCTAGAATAAACATTTGATGTTGCCAAAACTGTTACATTATAATAGATAATTTGATATGTATTCACTATTAGGTATGCAACTTTTTAATTCCACAAAGTTTAAATAACTTGAAATCAGACCTCAGACAGCAAAGGTCACTAAGAAGACTGAAGAAAACTATGTCAGATTAACCCATTTTCACATAGAATCAAAATGAGTTAAGGGGAATATTGTAATCTTTTTTTGCACTTCTAGGATAAGTTTTTATTTTTTTTAAATTTCTTTTATTAATATATAAGTTACAATCCTCTGATCACATAACAAAAAAGAAAAAAAGTTGTAATTACTTATAAATACAGTTAACACTTCTAGGATAGGGTGATGGTGAAATCTAAATAAACAATTCCTCTCATATTTCTCACAGCACAGTCTGAATTCTACAAATACTCAGAATGCTGAATTTATCTCTGTATTTTCATGCTTTAAAGCTGTTATTGTTATAATGCAGTGGTTGCAGTCATTTAAAATGAAATCCCACCTCCAAGTACAAGCTAACATTTTAAGTTTAAAAGAGACAATAACAGCCATGTTTGTTGTTCAGATCTATTCATATATATAACGTGTGTCTCCAAGGCAGCAAAAGATTGCTGCTGGTACCTAAAAAGTACTCTTTAGCAAACATCAACTTATTAAAATTGAGAAAAACAGGGTGGATGGGGGAATAAGTATGTATATAACTTACAGGAGCCATACATACATACATACATACATACATACATACATACATACATACATACATACATACATACATACATACATACATACATACATACATACATACATACATACATACATACATACATACATACATACAAAGAGAGAGACAGAGGCTGAAATCTTGCGAACTTTAATAAGTTGAGCTAACTGCCATTAATATAATGTGCCCCACACTAGATTCCTCATTCTGTGTCAGTCATGTGGCTTAGTATGCAACTAAGAATCCATGTGGGGATGCATTAATTAGCAGTAATTAGTTGCTATGAGTTACACTATTTTCCTTCCTCTGGTATAATAACAGAATGGGATTTGGGCCAATGAGAATTAAAAATGAATAACAATGAAATTGGTTTAGCTTGTTCCCAAATGTTGTATCTTATCATTTTCTGTAAATTAAGATGAAACCTAAAATGAAATGGAAAGCCTTTTTGAGCTTTGTTCTATGTATAGTCAATCTCATCCAAAGGCAGGAGAAGCAGGAGCTGCTTTGACTTGGGTCCTTTATAAGATGAGGCTAACCTTTGGTTTATGAGCCATCCCTAAGCAGAGCTTTGGACATGACCTGCCTCTAGTCAGAATTTTATACAAGCAAAGGTTTTAAATTTAGTAGAGACTGTGGAGACATTCCATACACAACCCCATCTCTTACTAATGAGCAGTGTTCACCTAATTTTGCTTATCTGAACCAGAACTCAAAATCCATTAAAAACTTTCACAGTAGTCATTTCATCCGTGTTATTCTTACTGTGACATTAACTGAGTTTAATGTACTACTGGCATCAGTGGAATGGATCCTATCTACTGAACATTTCTCCCAAATACTTAATTTCTTATTTCATAAATAAATCACATATTAACTATCTTCATGTGAAAATGTCTACATAAAATGTATGTATTTGCACAAATGTAAACTTGTGAAGCACTGTTATTTTTGTTGCTCACATTCTTCAATATACAGTATAACAGAAAGTCTGTGATCCTGTTGTTGCACCTCCACTTGCAGAGCTCTGCCAGCAGGAATTCGGCCAGTATAAGCTTGGAGCATTCCATGTAGGACATCTTCAAACACAGGCGAAGATTATTCATTGAAAAGAAAAAGAAACTATGTGGTCCTTGCTTTAAGATTATTCATGTTATTCTGGAATCCAGTACTATTTGTAGGCTTAAAAGCATCTTTGTGTGTCAAAATCCGAATTCTTGACTGAGCCTAAATGACATACAAATTGCTATTGTTTCTCTGGATTACCCAGCAGTAAATGCAAACATTTGTTTGTTTGCTTGTTTGTTCGTTCGATTTATATCCCGCCCATCTGGTATATTCTACCACTCTGGGCGGCTTACAGAATATCAATTGCCAAAATCCTGTTGGTGTGATGACTCTGGTGTAAAACACAACTGGGCACTGGAAGTGCTTAATTTAAAATAAATAAAAATGTTCTATTCCCCGTTCCTTTTGGTTTCTGCAGTTCCCTTTTGCACCCTTTTGCCCTGGCAAAGTCTTTGAGAGCTTTGGATATGGAGAGAAGGAACGCTTTATAATAAATCATCACCAGACTGAAGGTGGTGGTCTCAATCCTGCCGACAGTGCTGTTTTATTATTGAACGCGCTTCTCATCCTGAGGCTCACAAAAGTTTCTCCAAGGGCAAAAAGAGCTCTAGGGAGCCTCAGAACCTGAAAGGTGGTGGTGGTAGGGTTAGAATGGAAAGCTTCTAAGGAATTTAAATCAATTATTTCCTGTGCCTAGAACCATTTTACAATGGTGTAAGTACACCAAAAGGATTTTGCCCACTGTCTAACATTTCTCTAGAGCTGACTTGTTCTTTCTTCCTATCTGCCATCCTTCAATCTATTCCCTATCACTCAAATAGTATTCATCTGTGTTTGATGTATTTCAGTTGGGAAACAGAGCTGAAAACATGCTACTTAGTAAGTGATGTGCCTCAACCTAACTCCTTCAGTTTTAAAATATTATTAGTATTGCCATATTTTTATATCATCTGGAAATCAGCTATTGGAAACTTAGGCAAGAAAGACTGCAACTCCTTAAAGACTTTCAGAATTTCCAATGTTCTTATTCTGGAGGTACAATAACCCTTTGGAATCAGGCTCTGACACAATTAAAGGAGGTGCCCTTGGTGAAGCATGGAAGCATTGAGGCTATCCACAAAAGCACATTTGTACACTGTCACATAGCTCTTTGGTACTAGCTAATCTGTTCAACTGGTAGCATATTACAATAGAGATATATGAAATAAAGACTAAGAGCATTTAGCACATAAGCAGGTGAACATTTAGAATTCTATGTCAATATATACATATTTTTTCATATATGATATAACAAACTTTTTGGAATCATGTTGATTTTAAATATAATAGTTCAAATAATTGATATTTTAGAAAATTGTGAATATAGTGCCGTGTTGCTACATAATTTAGATGAAGAAGTTCCTCTCTTACTTTGACAACTCTTTTTGCATTTGCAGGTAATCAGATCCTTGTAATGAACTTTTGTTTTATCAACATGAATAGTTTATTAAAACTTGTGAAATTGCTGCAATAATTTCTTAAACTCATTTTATTGTTTGAGAAAGATGCAATTCATCGTCCGTTACAGTATACTTACTATTTAGGTAATTTTGGATAGACATTATTTTTTAGTAAACAATAGTGGGAAATTTTGAGCTGATTCTCCTTCTCATGCTTAGATCATGAGTCGCCCCTAGCAACTGGGTCATATGGTAAGAAAGTTGATCACAAGAGAGCAAATGAGAGTATTTATTTATCTAAATTATACCTCAAGATTTTGGATATAGAAAGAGATGAACAATAAAATGCAGACAGAGCAGATACTCAAAGACAGGACAAGTTTAAAATAAAGCATACCTGGCAGGCAGATGGATGATTATGACTGAGATCCCATTGGGAAGATACTATGTCAACAGATTTTTTAGCCATATTAAGTAAATTCATCCAGCCTTGGAAAAGAGACAAATGAGACGGTGCACTCTCTGAATAGTTTATGCCTTCAGGAATATTTTCCACAAGAGCAATCCTGAGAAGACATTTTTTAAAAAGACAGTTTACAAAATCACTCCACATAAACTGTTCTTAATTCACAATGGCACTAGTATCATAAGATGTTTATTTGTTTAAGTTTCCTACTTCAGTCCTTGGAGGCACTTTGAATATTGCTTCTTCATTTTAAAAAGAAGAACTAGATACTCAAGCATTTGATATATTTTTCCAACACACCAACAACTTAATATGTCATGCAATATAAGGGAATATATATATATAAACCACTGAGAACTTAATCTTGTTCCAGTAACTGTATAAGTGGTTAAAAAGCATTGTGATTTAGTGATATCTAAAACTCCTCCCACCAATTAAGTCAGCATGCCATGACAATAATAGAAATGGACATATGAGCGTATATGAATACCCAATGCAGAAATACTGGCTGAAATTCTTTACCCTACTAAGTTATAACTAGAGTAAGCTCACTGGATGTGCTGGAATATGGTGAATCAACTCCATGGGTCTCCTCTAGTTGCAATCTACTACACTAAGCAACAGGATTTGGGCAAGTCAGCAAAGGGACATTAAAACTCAGCAGCATCCACGTTTTTTTAAACTCAATCACTGTAAAGACCACCTTCTTACCTATCATGTTACAACAAATGATTCATGTGCTGATTTCAACTGAAATGTGATACTCCATTTATCACCTTCCTTTACAGGAATCTTATAAACAACTTGCTCATTCTCTCTGTGTGTCTATCAAACACACACAGAGAAAATTGAAACAATGGCAAATTCAAAAGAAGGGAAGCATTCCTACTGCTTTGTCTTTTGAAGTTTCCTGGAAAGTTTTTGGAAAGCACTGTGAAATGATTTTGATGATTTGCTGGCATCTCCTTACTGAAAACAGCAAAAAGGGAGGGTAGAATCTGTTCTAAAAATTGCTTGTGACATTACTGCCTCAGACAGCTTACAGACTGACTGCTTCACTTTGACAGCTGGGGAAAAGGACAGTTTCTTTCCTTTAGGGCATGGTTACATTAGTGAAATGCATCAGATTCTGGATCATGGTTTTTAAAATTGATGTAAAGCCACGTGCTAGTCACATGGGTTTTGTGTCACTATGTGTGTTCCCTTGGGACTTTTAATCCAGGGTTAAGCTTAGTTTTAGATCAATCCAGGGACCTACCAAAAAAAATCCCTTTCGCACCTCTCACAGCCACTGCTGTAGTATTATTTTTAATATTTTATTTTTTCTTTCTTTGAACCTAGGATAACACTAGTTAAGTATTACACATAAAAACAATGAAACAGATGTACACACAGACACGTGCCAACACAATGTATACAATGATCTGTGGAGTCCTGCAGGGGCTGCTTCCTGACTTGCCCCTTGGAGCCTCCGGTTTCCTTCCATCTGTTGGGTCAGTTATGGTGGAGTTACAGAGTAAAGGCCCCAAAGAGCAGTAGACCAAAGAAAGTGGACCCCTCCAGCCACTGGAGGGAGGAGCTGAAATGCCAGTCCCCTGAGCCATGATGATAAGGATCTTTTACCGAGACCTCTTCTCATGCAAGAAGATAAGTTTATCCTGTTCCTCCCTTGAAATGCACACGATGCATAGAAAAGACAGGAGGCAAAATTCATCAGTCATAGGAACCCATAACATTGTTCAGAGGATTGTTGCCTTCCTCCCACTCCCTATGCCACAGAAAGGAATGCCATATGCCTTGTGGTAAGTGGCAGGATCCTGCATTTTTTGAATATTTGAAATAGCTTTAATTGAAATTAAAATAACAACTCCCATTTCCACAGAATGCTTTCAGGAAAAAAATGATGCATGCAGAGTATACTTTAAAATTTAAAGACTACATTTCAAATATAATAATAGCAAGGCAGGATATAATCTTTTCAATAAATATTACAAGAGTTTACAAGGCTGTTAGAAGGGTAAATGGAACCAGAATACCAAAGTACTATATGACTTTTTAAAAAATTCTTATAAATATAACAAATAATTGTTCACAGATTTTTGGTATTTCAACTGCTTTAAATGAAATGAACCAAAAACTACAGAATAATAAAGAAGATGCTGTTATCTAAAATGGTAGTCAAAGCTCTGGTTTTTCCATTAGCAATGTATGGAAGTGAGAGCTGGACCATAAAGAAGGCAGACCGCCGAAGAATTAATGCTTTTGAACTGTGGTGCTGGAGGAGACTGTTGAGAGTCCCCTGGACTGCAAGGAGAACAAACCTATCCATCTTCAAGGAAATCAATCCCGAGTGCTCACTGGAAGGACAGATCCTGAAGCTGAGGCTCCAATACTTTGGCCATCTCATGAAAAGAGAAGATTCCCTGGAAAAGACCTTGATGTTAGGAAATGTGAAGGCAAGAGGAGAAGGGGACGACAGTGGGTGACATGGTTGAACATCGGAGTGTCATCGGAGCTACCAACATGAATTTGACCAAACTCCGGGAGGCAGTGGAAGACAGGAGGGCCTGGCGTGCTCTGGTCGTGGGGTCATGAAGAGTCAGATGTGACTTAACGACTAGACAACAACAAGAAATTACTGTAAAATAATGTTCCATTCCTGGATACCTCTGCAAATATTAACCTATAAACCATCCCAGTTGATCTCCTGTGTACCTGCTGACTGCAAGATTCTGCATGGAACATAAAACCACTAAAATCCCATAGGTATAAACTGACCTCACAAGCAACATCACCATAGCTACTCTTAACAAAAGCCTTGTGGTAAACAACCATTCAAGGCTGGGCTGCATTTTGCCCCCTTTCAAGCAGAATGCCTTTTAAGCAGAATGGAATCTTTTGATACATCATATTTAGTTTACTTACTTTTCCATTATGGGTTTCATTTATGTGTTATCTTCTTAAACCCTGAGTACATTCTTGTGACGTAAATAGACAAGAATTATCATCTTCAAATAATACATTGGGAAAGAGAATTAAAAGGTTACAAGACGGGACAGAATGTGACCTAGAATTTGCACTTCTGTTCCAGAATAAAAATACACCAAGTTATCTCTAATAACCTTACTGAAAGATTAGTGAATCAACTGAAATAGGCTCACTATTAATAATACCAGCTTCAACATGAATGCTATAAGAAAGTGAAGCCTTTGCTTAAATATATATTCTGGAGCTAGACAGTAATGTTCCTTATATTCCAGAGCAATGTTCCACTTAAAAAGCTATAAGAGGGCTATTCTATTTGAAAACATTCTGTAAGTCAGGAACTGGCAATCTCTGAGGGATTCAAGTCCCCAGCCCCACCCTGAGTTGCAACAGGCTCAGAAATGGTCCCAAATTAAGAGAGAGAGAGAGAGAGAGAGAGAGAGAGAGAGAGATTGGTGGTGATGAACTGAATAAAGGCCCCACACCACACCTTCGTGGTGGCGCTGTGGGCTAAACCGGCAGTCGTAAGATCGAATCCACGCAACGGAATGAGCACCCGTCACTTGTCCCAGCTCCCGCCAACCTAGCGGTTCGAAAGCATGCAAATGCGAGTAGATAAATAGGGACCACCTCGGTGGGAAGGTAAACAGCGTTCCATGTCTAAATCACACTGGCCATGTGACCACGGAAAGATTGTCTTCGGACAAACGCTGGCTCTATGGCTTGAAGAGCGGGATGAGCGCCGCCCCCTAGAGTCGGACACGACTGGACAAAAATTGTCAAGGGGAACCTTTTACCTTTTACCAAGGCCCCACAAAAGAGAGCCCCTCTTCCTAAAAGCCTCAAAAACTGTTTTGAACCTTGAGGGCCTGTGAGGTGACCCTGGGAGCTGCAAAAATACCCCCGGAGCCCATGTAACCTGTACATTGCTCATGCCTGTTTGAAGACCTCAAGAATCAATGGAGGGTTTAAAGACAAAAAGGCTAGTATCTCACTGAGCTTCTGCTGAACAGAAAATCCTGTCAGAGCAGTACTAATGCATGTAGAGTGGCTTCTATTCATGGAAATTAAGAAACACATGCCATTAAGTCAATTCCGACATATACCACTCAGAAGTGATTTAACATTCTCTTCTTCTGGGAGTATCCTGGGACTCTGCAGCTTGCCCATTGCTACACAGGCTGGCTCTTCTCCTGGAATAGAGAGCGGGGAATCAAATTCCTAATCTCTGGCTCCACAGCTAGATTGTTGTTGTTGTTGAGTCATTAAGTCGTGTCCGACTCTTCGTGACACTGTCCAACCATCTCGTCCTCTGTCATTCCCTTCTCCTCTTGCCTTCACATTTTCTGAACATCAGAGTCTTTTCCAGGAAGTCTTCTCTTCTCATGAGATGGCCAAAGGATTGGAGCCTCAGCTTCAGGATCTGTCCTTCCAGTGAGCACTCAGGGTTGATTTCCTTTAGAATTGATAGGTTTGTTCTCCTTGCAGTCCAGTGGACTCTCAAGAGTCTCCTCCAGCACCACAGTTCAAAAGCATCAATTCTTCGGTGGTCTACCTTCTCTTTGGTCCAGCTCTCACTTCCATACATTGCTAATGGAAAAACCAAAGCTTTGAGCTACCACTTTAGATAACTGCATCTTCTTTATTATTCTGTAGTTTTTGGTTCATTTCATTTAAAGCAGTTGAAATACCAAAAATCTCTATTACCTATTACAACTAAGGCAAACAGTATATACATGAAATGAATAAATATTTATTCCCTCTATATCCCTTCTTTCTAAGTCTTTTACTTCCTTCTGGTATCTATCCAAAAATCTGAACTACAAGTTCTTCTAGGCAGACTTGTTTGGTTTTGTAATTGGTAAACACCCTACAGATGTCATTATAAACTAAATTTAATTGTTAATCACAGCTAGAGTAGACCCATGAAACGAACGGAACTCAACTCAATTCAGTGGGTCTACAGCTGTGGGAGACTAACAATTGGAATCAGCCTTATATGATGACCAGAAGTCTAGTTAAGATACTTCTATTCTATTTTTTTTCTTTGTATATGTTTACAATGCAATTTATATTTTGCTCCATTCTGAATAGGACACAGCAATAAAGATAGGC